CCCTACAGTGTGTTTTTCAGTACAAAGAAATTGTGAGGTCTGGAGCGTGATGTGTAGGATACCAGATGGGTTTTTGCTCACATGGTTATGGTGAGGGGGGGAAGGCAGGCTTAGATATATAACGCAGACGCTTTTTTTTTTTAGAATGGATAAAATTCATTTATTTTCTGGGGAAAGTAATTGTGTGTTAAGACATAAATGGGATTATGTCTGAGAAATACATGCATAATACTTGCAAATTAACAGCCATCTGCCTCCATCCTGCCATGCTTTACTGTAATTTAAATAACTTTTTTTTTGGAGGGGGAAGTTTAATTAGTTTACATTTTGCTTAGCTTTGTATCTGTCATCAAAATAGTTTCAACACACAGTCTGGTAAGGTTTCCATACCTGGAACAGCTTTCAAGTTGTCTGATAACACGATGTAGTATTTGTGTCATTTTATTAATCACTGCTGTGCTTTTCACAGTGTGGCATATTGGCTGAGTTCTAAGCTAATTACTCATTTATACCTTGCCTTTCTCTTCAGTGGGGATTCAAAGTGGCTTGCATTATTTTTCTCTCTTCCCTTATATGTTCACAACAACCGTAGGAGGTAGGTTAGGCTGGGTGTCTGGGACTGGCCCACAGTCACCCTGCAAGCTTCCATGACAGAGTGGGGATTCAAACCTGGATCTCCTAGATCCTAATCCAACACTCTTAACCACTATACCACACCAGCCCCTAGATGGCAGCTTCCAGCAGAAAACCATGGCGGCTTCCAGCAGGTAGCCAGTTGCGAGTTCCTTGTGCAAACCGAATTCATAAGCCCCATGGGGCACACTTTCGATTGGAATCATACTGTGGGGATGTGAAGTGGCTCCAAATGTAGGTGGGAGCTTCCCCCCCCCACACACACACACATTGTGGTCCCAATCTGAATTAGGTCCCTGCAGTGCTTGTGAGTTGAGTTCCCTCAGGGAACTTGCAACTGGTGTCCTGCTACAGATTTCCATGGTGATTATTGGTAGATGTAACATGTAGTTTGCCCCTGACCTTACAGCATTCAACTTTAGTCCTCTGCATGTTATATTGCACTGAAAATAATTTTAATTAGCAGAATGTTCAGTTCAATATTCATGTCTGTTAATGTTTTATATAATTATGTTACGGATAAGGGAAGTTTGTTTTCGGTGTCAGGCCAGATGTGTTGGAATCGTAGTTGTTTTACAGTTCAGTTTTCCTTTTTGCTTAATTTGAGAATGAAATAAACATTACCAGATGACTGTAAAATGGTTCTCTGCAATGGTCCGCCATCCCTTGTTGCTGTGGTTGGTATATTGGAAGAGAGCCCGCATGGATCCAGATTTGCAGTCTGTTGTCAAATCCTGATAATGATGAGAGCCTGGTTAGTTTTAACCATGCCTAATGCTGGTATAAATGAAATTCGTAAATGAGGCTCTTGGAGGACGGGTGAATGAGTTGAGAGAAGGATCCTAAATCCAGTGCCCTGATTCTTAATCTGTGTTAGAGATCCTTCATTCTCCAGTGGCCCAGTCTCACATTAAAATCTATCAACTGAAATGTTGTCTGATGGTGTTGTGCAGTGTGTATATATAAAGTCTTGAGTATGAATAACACTTTAAAATACTCTTTTCTATTTTTCCATGGTGGTGTTCTTTGTTTGGGACCATGTGTGCCTTTTCATTCTGATGTTTGCAGTACACTTTGTAGGTTAAATGGGTTTTGAAACAACTATAAAAAGCTTGCTGTTGCTGCCGTATACAGAGAGTCCGTACTATAATGTTAGGTTTTAACTGACAGATAATGACAGTAAAAGTGAACCCCTATTTTTGGAGCTCTCATTGCTTACATTATGTAGAATCCCCCCCCCCAAATGTGGGTTGTATTGCCATGAAAATATATTAAAGGAAATAATGATGAAATGGGTTTTATAGCAAAGCTATAAGTATACTAATCTGCAGTCTAATGTTAATGTAAGCCATGAAAGTACATCCAATCAACATTTCCATGAAATAAAGCAAAAGCCTTGGCTGTTACTAAGAGGCTGTTACTTAGTAAATTAAATGACTTTCCCCCCATTTGAGTAGCAGGTCTCTTTTGCCAATCTTAAACAGGATTTGAAACATAGTGTCAAAAACAGCCATGTGGCATAAGGAACAATTGTTCATTTTTGGAGTCTGTTTGGATTAAAAAAACAAGTTGCAAGTTAGTCTTTGGGTCCTATCCTCTGATTTTATGTGGGTAGTGCCTCCTCCCCCCATAGTAACCTCATATATCATTGTAAAAATATACACTAGGTTCCAAAAACCTATGAAGCAAATTTTGTGATTCAGCAGGTAGGTTTGAGGAAAAGCTCCTGTTACCCAGTGCCGCTTAACATGCTTCTTTTGAAGCTTAAAAGATTTCTCGCATTTGTTTTATCTTTAGAAAGTTTTATGAGTAAATTATCTCTGTGTTTTAATTGCAGTTAGCCTCTGGAATTTACAGCTTTACCTGTTCCTTATGGAATCACCATACAGATACCTTCCTCCAACAGATTTGTACTACAGATGAAACTGCTATTAGTAATTCATTAGAAAGAACACTGTTATCATTGAAAGGTAATTAATGTGTTAAGTTGGTGAACAACTGTAAATACATATGGTAAAGTGGCATTCACATAGCTCAGGATTACAGCAGCCTGACTCCTTAGAGAGTTCAATGTACAATCCTTAGAATCCTCAAGAACATCTTTCATTTTCCATGTGCAGCTTGCTGGCTAGTAAAAAGGGAATGCAAAATTGCAGTCTGCTTCTTTTTGGCAGTTGGAGCTTTTCTTTAGTATATAGTTTCAAAATATAGATTTACGTTGATTTACCCAGTGGTTTTAAATAGCATCATGTAGACTGTTTTCACAAGTACTGATGCAGTGGACTGCAAAATTCATCCATTCATGTTTGGCTCTAGAAATACGCTACATTGCAAGGTGTGATAGGCTGAGCTGCTTATCTGTTTTTTGGTATATCATCCTATTGGATTATCTATAAATATGTCCCAAGGCTTTTTGTGTGTATGGATTTTCCCCCTGAGTTGCTAAATGAGATGGGCTTTCCAATTTTTTCATCAGCAGTAATCCTGTGTGAGTTACTGACTGGCTCAGGGCTACCCAGTGAGCCTTATAGCTAAATATCTGTAATCTCCTTTGGCCAATTCTGACAATATACACTCCACTCTACCATACGTCTCTTGTATTATTTGCCCCATGAATTTGGCAGAGAAATAAACTAATCATAGTACTCTGGCCTCCTGACTCACCAGCATTAGGTGCAGACTGCAGTTTCTTCATCAGCTGATATATTCTTCATGTTAGGTGCTGGAATAGTTTGACAGCTTATTCTTTATCAAGAATACACTGTGCATAACTGGTCTGCTGGGCTAGTGCAGTCTGATTATTGTAGGCATGTCTTTTAAATAAAATTATGAGCAGGACAGTTCAGTGTCTGTAATGTAACTAGAGAACTAACCTTGTTGAAGGCAAAATTTAAAAATGCTTTTACATCTTATTTACACCTGTGTATCCTGAATTTCTTAAAAGACTTCTTTCTTATGTTGTTTAAGACAGTGCATGCAGTATTCAAAACATTAGGGATTTCAAAATGTTGGAGGTTTTTTTTTTTAGAGATACACAAAAAAAGACCCCAAAAATTCAGATGCAGTCACTTCTGCAAACATTTTGAGCACACTTTGCTCTAAATTGTTTATGCATTTTGTTAGAGACCTCAGCCTATGGCTAAATTATTTAAAGGGCATATTGTATTTCTTTGTGAATATATGGAAGAATAGGTGAAAAGAACCTGTTGTCCTTTGAAAATCTTGATGGCCTTCAGTGAAATTTCTGTAACCTTCTCTTTGTTTTGCTGGTAGCTTTATTTCTTATGACTTGAATGCTAAAATCATTCCAGTATAGTGAGGAGTCAAATATTTAAAACTTCCAAGTATATTCACTGTCTTAAGAAGCAGAAATATATTATTACATTGGATAATAAACAATATCTTTTATATGAGTACTAAATAGTCTTTTTCTTCATGGTCTTGTGCATTGCACTGATGGATTTTGCACATGTGAAGAGCTTTGATTTGAACATTCCTAAAGCAAGTTTTTGTGCACAAAAAATGCTCTCCTCTCAGAGGTACAATGTCAACAGTGTATGCCTGAGAGGGAGGAATCATGTCTACCCACTCAGGTTTCTTTTCTCCACCACAGCTGTATTGGAACATTCTCCAGAGACAACCCCTCTCATTTGATCTAGTCCTGTGTGGTGCCCTGACACCTGTACTGCAAAGTGCAACTTCTTAAAAGTGTTGGCAATGTGGAGGAAAGTTGCTATTGCCATGATCAGTCAGGCTTGTACCAACTGGCTGAGGTATACAACTAGTCTTCCCAACCACTCTTTTGGAAATTGCTATCTCAGCTTCTGAGGTGATTGTCAGTGAACTGGCATCAATTGCACAGAAAACTGTCTGCTAGCACATCTCCCTGTGCCAGAACTATTGTTGCCAACTCCCTCAGTACTAAGATAGCAAAGATCAGACTGCCAGGTGTCAAGTCCAATAACAGACGGGACAGAGGAACAAGAAACACAAGAAGAAACATCAGCATAAGATAGATAAACAGAGATCTGCTCCCCCAGCCTTGTTCCCAGCCCCTGGGGAGGGTGTTTCCCCATATGTTTCAGCAGATGTGGTCCCAGTACCACTGGTACCTTTCTTGGAGGAAATTCAAGATCATCCAAATCCCAGGAACACCATCAGCTGCTAAGAATCAGTTTAACTTGTAGAATTATTCTTCTAATGCCATTTGGAAGACTCTCAACAGGATATTCTCTAATCTCCACACTCTGACCCACCTCCACTGAGGCCTCCTAGGCTAGTTCTTCATGCTGCTGCTGATACCCTTTGAGCCAATCTCTCTGCATCACCTTCCATATAATTGGGAGTAAGAAAAGCAGAACCACAGAAATTGGGACCAGGACTTGACTGCCTCCTAAAAAATCATCATTCACCACATTCTTCTGTAAGCTTTGAGGACCAGCCTTTGCCTTGGGTCTCATTATGTGACAATCAACACTGATTCTTGATCTCATCAGCTGTGGGGCTCCTGCCTACCACGTCTGATGCTTGTTTCTCCTTTAGGACCAGTAGAATGTTCCTTGGTACCAGTAGTGGTACATGCTTCTCTACTTACATTGGTACCTGTTGTCTGTGTTGGACCAATCTCCTCCTAGAAGTAGATGGAGGCACCTTTTCTTCCTGTATTCCAAGGAGGAAAATCATGATGCTGCAGGCACTTCCTGGCCTGTCAGTGATTGATGCAAGGTGTTCTCTTCCCATTGAAGATGAGAGAATGTATACAAAGGAGCTGATGCAGATGGCTACCTCTTTGGGATTGGAAATAATCTCAAACTTCAGGTCCCAGTGTTTGGGGTCATGGATGCTGGATGCCCAAACACCAGTTGCAGTTCCTCACGCTTCTTGCATTACTTCAAGTGGAGAAGGGTTCCTGGAAGATGTCAGTTTCCATACCTTCCACATCAAAAGGATTTGAAAGGCTATGGAAGTCCCAACAAGAGCAACATAACTTTCTCTTTGTCCGTCCGCTCCCAAAATTCCATTGTAGTGGAGGCCTCCCAAGGCAAAGGGAAACAAAATTCCACTCTGTGGTTGCAGATGAGAAAATTGAGCAGCATGCAGAGAGACTGACTGATGACATGCTGGAATAGGGTCCAGAAGTTAAACTCTACTGCTCTCTCCATTTAACTTATATCCACCACCACCAAGACCAGAAGCAACATCTCAGATCTTTTAGTCAGAGTAGACCACTCCACTCCTTGGATTGCTCTTCATCTCATAAATCCTCAGCTATCATCATCAAATCTTCCTCCTTTCCTAGGCCTCAGTTTATCCCTCAGTGTTCTAAGTCTGAATGTTTGATTTTGACCTCCTTGCCAGTTCTGCATTTTCATAACCACCTGTCAACATCAGAAGCTATCGTCAACAACAGCTGGGTCTTGACTATCATCAAGCTGGGATACACAATACAGCTTGCTTTGCTTCCCCCCCCCCCCACCACATCTACAGTAGTCAAATATACTCTCCTTGACCCTACCCTCCTCCTGGAGATCTTCCTGTTGAAAAAAAGGTGATGGAAATTGTGCCACACTCAGGCATGTACTGTCAAAGTTTAACAAACAAAGTTTAGTTTATTTAAACTAAAGGTTAGCTCTGGGAATTGTCAAATTGATGCTCTGTGCAGCTGCAAAGCCCATCAGTGTGAATACACAGATGGTCACCCAATGAATGTCAGTAACAGGTAAATGACCTGTTTATTTTGAGGCAATAACCTTGTTTCATTTTTCAGTGCTTCGTAAATTAACTGTTCATGGCTTTGTGGAGCCTCATCGGAACGTAGAGGTCATGGTAAGCAACACACATGCTTATTTTTTTGTAAATGCATTTTTAAAAATAGTGTGGTTAAATGTCTTTGGAATTAAGAACTGAGACTATGACAGTTCTTAACTGCTAATTTGAATGTCTGGAAGAAGTTTATCTGATGAAAATGGAAAGTGCTGATGCTGCCTAGAGTGCAAAGATGATGAACAGCTTTGTTTGGAAGACTGATCGAGCATGTTTAGAATCAGGGGAGTATATTTCCTATGCCTGAAAGTCTCTAAGATAATGACAGTCAGCATCCAAAAGGAACATGAACAGTGGGGTCACTATATAGGCTTGTTAAAATTTGAAGGCAACTTCGTATTGACTTGTTGAGATTTAAACTATTAATATGATTTCTTGTTTAATTTTTTTTTCTTATTATGGTCAAAAAATGGAGCAAATAGCTTAAAAATTCAGAAAACTGACGTTGAGTTTTTATTATCATAATAAACTAAGTTACAGTATTTTGATACTTTGAATTAGAATAACAGCTATACCTGCTTCCATCCTACTTGTCCTACCCCCTACTCTCTTTCGCCTACTTTGCTGCCCCATGCAATGCCCCCTGCTCCCCTTTTCTCATTTGTTTGCTTTCTGCCACTAGCAAGCTGATAAAATGATTGTCACTTTCTTTGGGAAAATAGAACTCTGTGTTATACAGTTAATTGTGAGTGTTATCGTTTAAATGTTATTTTCACATCTTCTAGGGATTTCTACATGCAGTATTTGAGCGATTAAAACAGTTTTTGGAATGTAGTAAGTATATGAAGACTTATTTTCACCTTTTGCATGATGCTTCAAATCCTAGCAAAAGTCTATCAGCTGAGCTGCATTTTCAGTAGTAAAATATGTCTTGGCTTTTGTTGCCAAATGATAAAACTGTTATTGGAACTGGCATACATCACTTGTTCATGAAAGTTCTGTCTTCATTAAGAAAAATATTTCATATCACTTAGAGCTTTTCTCTAAAATATGAGTTTTGAATTATTCCTTTAAATCTCATGTAATCTCTTAGTGACTTTCTGTACTCAGACACAACTGCATTGTGTCGTTCTTTTCTGAACAGATTCCAGTTTCTACATTTATGTTCCAGAATTAGTTTCTATGCCTTGAATAGTTTGCCGTTGTTTATGATTGTAGCTTGATCGGTTTGCAATCATGATTGTTAAAATTACCTTTTCTGTCATTTATAGTAGGAGCAGAACATAGCCTACACTTAGGTTTTCAGAATGCTTCCATATCTGTAACAGGATCTTTGGGGTGGGTTCAGGAATCTCTGAGCACTGACTTCTGTACACTTTGGGAGATCTTTGGATCCAAATCTGCTTCTATTTTCTATACCTCTTTTTAAAAGGAACTGAGACCTGGTTTGTCCATGCAGTAGGATAGGGTGATAGACTCTTGGTAGAAGCGGTTGTGTAACTTCCAAATGAAGGTGATGAACACATTTTTAAATGTTTCCCTATGTAAAAAACTTACTAAGTATTGGAAAGCAACACACCAGCAACTGTGCTAGAATTTTTCTTTGTGATGTGCTATTTTTTTTTTAGTTAAATGAAGGGGATTTTTTTGGTTTTTTTAAAAATAAGCATTACAATTTTTATAGCAAAACTGTATTTATGTACTTTGTAGTCTCCATTTCTTGCTGAGACTCGAGGCAGATTACAACCCAAATTAATGTAATAAGAACAGTACAGTACATAGAGCCAACAAGATTACAGAACGTACTAATACAGATGATAAAGCTGTATTAAAAAAACTGGCATACAGTGCAGTGAAACATTGCATTACATACTAACAGAGTAATGTGTAATGATGGATCAGTATTATCCTCCCCACACTGTAGATGAGGCATGAGGGTGAAAGAGAGTGGCTTGTCTAAGGCACGCTAGTGAACTCATGGCAGGGACAAGATTCAGACTAAGAATTTCCTGATTCTTAGATAAGGCTCTTAGCCACTAGGACTCAGTAACTATGTGGAATATTTAAACTGTAGTCTATTACTGATCTGTCAATCATGTTTCTCCTGTGTGTTTATCATGATGCAGCATCTGTGCATCTAAATGTGGGCATTGTGAGACTAATATGGAACAGTTTTAAATTACCTTTACAAGCTGTGAATATTTTTAAGTGAAACTTAATGCTGCCCAAATTTATTTATTTACCAGGCAGGAGTATAGGAGTGGATAATGTATGCAGAGATCGTCTGGAAAAGACGATAATTCTTTTCACTAAAGTGGTAAGTTCAAATGAAGCTTTAATGAGCCTTTAATATGTGCTTGGGCTAGTCATTTGTAGTACAAAATGGTGCCACAACTTTACATCGCTTGGTTCAGGCATATGAGCTGAGCAAACAGTTAAGGCAAAGGCCTAAGGAGAAAGGGTGTACATCCTCCATTCATACTGCAGTAGAGGAGGAAACACTACCCTCTTCTCTTCCTGCCTTGATTCACCTTCACAGCATTTGCTGTTATTAGTCTCCTCCATTGCCAAGTACACTTACTACATAACCTTGTTCTCCTAGTTTCAGTGAGGTCCTAATGCCTGTTGATCTTCCTGGCTTACCTATCACCTCTTGTTCCTGTTCCTCTGAGATGAATTGGAGAGATGGGCAATAATGTTGCCATATCCAGGACCCCCAAATCAGAGATGCCTAATTGTTTTATGCATTTGATTTTTTTTGAATGAATGAATTTTTGTGGCTGTAAACCGCTCAGAGGATCCTCCTGAGCCTGAAAAGCAAGAGAAGGTTGTTTTAGTAATCACCAGTGGAAACATTTAGAAATTAAACACAGAACAAATATTAATTTTTGAAAAAGGGATGTGTGAAAAGAAAATAATTACTGGCAAGTCGTTTTGATTTTTAGTTATCCCAGTCTTTCTGTCTGCCTCCCCCCTCTTCAACAAGTCCTGCCCTTTTCAGAAATAAATGTCAGACCTGGAATATACATAGTAAGAATAAAGGAAATAAATTATTTGAATGCAGAAACAGTGCATTTTATCATTCCTAAATTAATAATGCTTTCGTGGATTTCCTTTGGACTGTGGTAGTTGGAAAGAAAGCTCATGGTGCATATTGAATTTCCCTTTTGCCCGTGATTCTGACCAGTTAAATTTAGCACTGGTTTCCTTCTGAATAATTAACAAGGCACAAATCCTGT